CCCTTCCTTCTCTCTCCCCTTACCAGGTAATCTGTGATGAAAGGTGGAATGCTGAAGCCGATGTAAGCAGACAGCGTGCACATGGCCGTTCCCCAGGGCCGTATGGTGGTCGGCAGGAGCTCAGGTGCGTAGAGGAAGTTTACCTGAAGATCGAGCTCATGGTTAGGCTGATGAGTGTGAAGTTTGCGTGGTATGGTTGTGCAGAGTTGGGTGAGTGCGGAGTGTGGTCAGTTATGGGTCGTTTTAGTGTTTGGGGGTGTTTGGAAACTTCGAGTATATATATGGTTATATTCACGATTGATTTGGGGAGTTTGAAGTTTATTCTGGTTAGTTTTCAGACCGTTTTATGAGCGAAGTTTAATAGAATGAAGTTTACAAGTTTAAAGTTTACCTGGTCAGTTCATGACTAATAAGCAGAGTTTGGAGTTTACGGCGCTGGTCAGAATGGTAATGGTGAAGTTTGTCTAGTAACTTTATGGTAATTTTGACATTTCAAGATCAATTTTTAAATTGAAATATGATTGAAGCACTGGGAAGTATTTTCTGCATTTTTCAATTTGTAGTATCAGTATTATCAAGTATAATTTATTCTAGGATTTGGATTCGATATCATATCAAATCGCAATTATTATTATTATTATTTTTTTTAATATAGCAACCTCACCTGATAAGACGTGCACACCATAAGATAGCTCAGTAGAACGAGCAGTAAATCGACCCATTCTGTAAGCCAGAGGTGTATGAACATTAAAGACAGTGGCTTTTCAAAAACATCTAAAATCACCACGCGATTTTTAAAAATTCATTGTTGTTAAACCTTCTTGAAAGCAAAATTCATAACGTGTATCTGTTGATCCCATGTAACGGATATTGAATTCCACAACCTACCCTCTTTAATACCGTACATCTCGAGCAGCAGCAAACTGAGTAGCAGGAGACCACAGCTGATTAAGCAGAAGCAGATGACCGGACGCCTCCCGAGGCGCTGCGTGATCGGCGCGGAAACACTGTAAGCTGGCACTTCCACGGCACCCATGAGTGCCATGTATAGGAAGGGGGAACTGTTGAAATTGAGAATGGCAGCTATTGTTAAAGAAGGAAACGACCTTGAATCGAATGTTACATGTTTGTTTCAACTTTGTCAAAACCTTTGTCAAAAACCCTAGATCTACATTCAGAAAGACAACAGAGTCTTTGCACCAACAGCACCAGAGATAAGGAAGTTCAATTTTAGCTTAAAATGGACACCTTAGACCTATTCCTTTCCTCCATTTAGGTTCCAGAAGTCCAGACGACTTGCGTCAGTTCCCAACGCCGTCCTTCCTCCATCCCCTCCATCCTCCTCCTATTCCACCAAGGGGAAAACCTCTTATCGTACCTGAAGGCGTTGGCGCTGAGAGGAAGACCCAGGTAAACGATGCCCTGCAGGAGCCAGATCACCACGAGCACCAGGGAGAGGCGCCTCATCACGCCCGTGCGGACCAAGGCCACGGGTCCCGCCCACCAAGCGCCAAAGCCGTCAGCGATGCCCAGGGGTTTGTTGACTCCCGAAGTGCCTTCTGCTGTATCGACGCTGACGCCGTTCTGAAGGCCGTCTGGGTGCTGGGTGGCGGGGTTTGGGCTCTCCGCGCTGTGCCTGGCTGCCGTGGGCTTCGAACCGGATAATCTCTGTAATTATCAAACATTTCTTTATTAATGTGAACGAAATATTTAATCGTCATTGAGTTTCAAATATTGAATACAATCTGCTTTGAAGAAAAGGCAGTATCTGAGCTATTAGTCAGAATGCATATCTTGCGTAAGTTAAAAGGATTTTGATTAATCCGAATAAACAAATGGTTATTGGTTAATAATAAAATCTTGCCTTCTGTGTTTAGAATCCAGTGACATTTCAATCATCATCTTACCGAAAAAAAAATCAGGTGCATTTAGCCAAACGTGATATTACTTTATTGTCTTGAAACTGAAAGTTTATATGAAAAATATTGCTTATGTACCCTGCTATGGTCAAATGCAATCGTGGAAATAATTTACACACAAGAGGCATCAAATTATTTATATCTGAATTTCAATTCCTTTTGTTAAAATGTGATGTGCTTCTCTAACCCATGGGATTCAGCCATTTTTATTAGCTGCGAATGTAAAGTTTTAGCGACATACATCGCATGTACACATTTTTTAAGGCTTCAATATATTATTACATTATTAATTCCATTCTGTATGTAAAAAATTAACTAATTACCCTTAAGATTACGGATTTCACATTTGTTATCTCCAACTAACTATCAGAACTATCTTTCCCGGTTACCTTAAAACAGAAAAAAATGAACTTGTGAAAATTGAACATTGTGTTGTACTTTCCTTTCAACATTCACTGTAAACACACAACTCCCTCGTATGTTACAACACTGGTTATTGGTAAAAGAAATTTCAACCATATCTCTACATTTCAATTTGCAGGATACGAATAAACCAATATTGACGGGAATACGTAACTTTG